GCTTGTAAGTTCTAGTCTGTGACACTAGATTCCAAGCTCGTTCTCACTATTCCTTCTTTGGTTATATCCTTTCTATAGGGGTATCCACCATTTCGACGACTCTCCTTTGTTCAGGGGTTAGACCCTTCGCAGGTACGTTGAGCATTTCAATGTCTATGAGAATCCTATTCAAGCTCCGAGGTTCAAATTTTCGTAATGAGCTGAAATAACACTTTCTCAAGCACATCTGATCGCCTCAAACAGTAGCAATCCCTCGATCAGTAGAAAATTTCATACATAAATGGTGGATAGAGGTGGTAGCCCATAGTTCCTTTAATGCGGGTCATACCAACACCCAGTGATATGTAGACCGATGATCAAATACGAGGAATTCTATAAAATGACAGGTTGTAAAGGAAGTGTCCCCATTTTTACAGCCAATGTAACCCACTTCCTGGGGATGATGCTATCATCAGTGAAGCTGTAGAGAGGGCGATCATGGCATGAGCTCGAGGCCAGTTTGCATCTTCTCATAAGTGGTTCCAACAAGATATTGACGAAACTTTCCTTATCCACAAGCATGCAATTCAAGTCGTTCTTGGCCACAATAGCTCTTACCATAAGGGTATCACAATGAGGATAATGGACATTGATGGAATCCTCTGGTGTAAAAGTTATTGGTGGAACGACATTAGCTCCCGGGAACACTGTTGACCAAGTAACTCTTCATGGGTGGATCCTTAGCTTCTCTAGTATAATTTCTTTGGGCGTTTCTAGATTCTGTACCAACATGAGGGCCTTCAATTATCGTGTCAATCTTTTCGATGGGGTCATTTATTGTATCAGCATGGCGTTTTCTCTTTTATCTTGGTGCTCTACTGGGCTCCTCCCCATCTTCGTTATTCCTCTATCGAGGTGACTAATGCCTATGATGTTACCTTAGCTCTTCACGCCCACATTTTAAATCTCTCATCGCTTGAGGACCTAAGGTGCATTTCTCATACCTAGGCCCGTCGCCCTCCTATTATTACGTAGGTTCATTGACTCCAGATGATACAGCCTCGACATTTTGTTGTTAGTACCATGACCGTGAGTTCGGTGATAGGTGCAGTACAGCATATTTCTAGGCTCATTACCTCGTCCTTTGCCTTTTTTTCCTAAAGTGGTTAAGTTGCCCTTGTGCATGTGGCCAACCTCTTCATAAGCTAATGATGGTATCGCGCTCAACGTGGTAGTGGCCAAAGCCTAGCCTGATGTAAGGGAGATTGTTTGTCCAGTTTGAGTCCATTACTAGTTCTTCAAGTTTGATATGGGGTCCCCGTCTTAGCTTTCGAGGAGGTGGGAGCCCCAACGAGGTTCGATTGCGATGGTCAATCAGCTCTTCATTGATTATTTCACTCATCATCATCTCTACTAGGGCATAGTATATAGTAGGATTCTTATTCCAAACGTCTATCTAGAAGAAGGTGTTCATATTGAGGCATTCATTAACCCTGAAAGAGCTTCCCTATCAGTAACCTGTTTACAGTAGGTCATTTCATCCGTAAATTGAGCCAGATTGCTCTTCAGATTTAGCTTGCTTGTTACCTCATATCCTATAACCTTTGAATAGGAGAGTTACCCTCATTGCTTTACAAATACTGGTTTAGAAAAGCCTTCTTCAGATCTGGCTGGCTTCTGATACTTACCGGCTAGTGTGTGGTTAAACCAGATTTTCGCAGCACTAGTGAGGATGAGGTGGAAAACCCTGCACTTCAGAGCTAGAAAAGCTCCCATAAGGACATATGGGTTTTGTAATTGTTGAGGTGTTTCGTTGGATCTCCCTTTCCTTCATACTTGGGTATCTTTGATGGCACAAAGTGGATCGAGATATGGGCGTTCCTTAACTCCTGCGAGAACGAAAGACTCTCGCCATCGTCGTCTAGCTCAAAGGATCTACAAGGCTCCTTTGATTTTCCCTCTTTTGCCTGATAACTAGGCGATCGTAAAGTCCCGGCGTGATTCAGTAGATTTCTCATAGACCTTTTTTCTAGCCTATCCCTAGGCAATCTAACCTCTTGGGGAGTAGAACCCTGCCCATATCCTTGATGCCTCTGATCTAGAGATGATAGTTGCGACCTATTTTCTAGGCCTTTGTGGTCCAATCCTGTCGAAGACACTGATGGATCGTTGCGATTCCTGTACTTGGGTATACTCCGGGGTGAAATCTCCTGTCCTTTGTGACAAGTTATCACTAAGTCACGCAGGGGTTGTGGACATACCACTTTTCCTTCCATTGGGCTCGAATCTCTATCATACCCCTGTGGGTAGCCCCTCGTTCATTCCTCCTGCTGGGAAGCTCCTTGTTGGGAAACTTTGTACCCTATCTTTTCGTGCATTTGTACGAGTAGCCGTTGCATAATGGACCTTTGCTGGGCCATATTCCTCATATAGGCTGCCATTTTTCCTACTTCTCTCGCTAAGCGAGTTGTAATTCCTTCTCATCGACGTTGATGGTGGAGTCGACGGATGGTGACATTCTCTCGGATGACCTCTTCTTCAAAGGCCTCTGGTTGATGTCCTCTGCCACGATAGTTGTAATAACTGGAGCTCATGGGATATCATTCCTTTGTGTTAGCGAATTTTGAGTAGCACTTCCTCAGTGCCTTCTACAGCCCGTTCTGAAACTTAAACCTTTCCTCAAGGCTTAATGGTAGGACAACACCTCTTGTTGGCTTTTATCAATGGGATGTTCATGGCCAATAGATCACAATACCTCTCAAAACGTACCTTTGACATGGTCAATAGATCATAATACCTCTCAATCCCTTGTTTCTGTTATCAGAATAAACCGTTAGTCACATATGACCTCCTCAAATATGGGGTAGAGTCAACTGTGCATACTCCGACGGTCAAGTTAATTTGTTGCACAAGTATATGTGTGTGAGAAGGCTTTAGACCTAAGCCTCCAATATAACAAAAGATAGTCAATTTTTTTGGGAATAACTTGTAGAAAAAGAGAGCAAATTTATAGTTTGGAAATCTAAAATTGCATTACCTTGAGATGGTACTAAGTGTGAGTTTTTGTAGTGTAAGAGTATGAATAATGACTATTGGATGAAGGGACATGTTGTTCCATCTATACGGTTATCACTTCCCATCACATGCATCATTCAACTATAGGATGTTAGTGTCATACCACTTTATTAATTATATAACCTAGCGTGTGACTGTGGACTTGACTGGATAGGTTGGTAATGGCTGCAGTGGCAAAGACTTCATGTCAATCACATCAAGAGATTGACTAGGAGATTTTTTGTTGGGTTCATTTGTAGCCTGGCCTCAGCTTGCTGGGATTATACATGGGCTGGGATGCATATCCGTGAGGTGGCCTCTTCCCTATCAAGGCTTGCTAACTATGAAGGTTGTAACAATAATCTTTTGCATTATAGAGCCCGCATTATTGTATTGTTTGTGTTTAATCTTTATTTAACTTTGTACTATAAGTATTCTTCTCAATATTTTATTTTATTTTGCATGGCTACGTGAAAGTTAGCTCGATTATGAAGCCAATGATAATGTTGTGTCTATCTAGGATCAAATTTTGAATTAATTTTTGTTAACACTTGAATTTTCATTTATTACTTGAAATTTATTATTTTTATTCATCTTTTTTTTTTCTTTTTCATTGTGCTCTAGTTGTTCCCTTTTCACTTCCTTTTTGCCTTATTCTTCTTCAATTGGAGGTTTTAACCTATAAAAGCAATAGTTACACAATTGTGAGTAAAAAATCGTTCATTTGATCGATATTAAGCTTATTTAGGCATCCAATAAGTGTGTAAAAATACACTTACCAATCATCGATTGATGAATTTAGGATTGATATTGATATTGAGAGGTGATATAGTTATATAACTCGTGCAACAGTTGACATAGATTTTGATAAGAGATGAGAAGTTACGTATATATATGATGTAATCTTAATTGATTTTATACGAATTAATGTGTTTATATGTTGCCTAAATTTACATATAGATATAATAAATTTGTCCATGTACATTGGAGTAATTTTACGCGAGAGATGTGCATAGGGCTAATTTTACACGAGAGATCATCAATTAAATTCGATAATTGGTTGTTGAGACGTATAAAAAGAGATTGCAGGATATTGAATTTAGTAAACATTAATTGACCTAAGTGAAATCGAATTTTCTAACCATTTAATCCCGTAAATTGTACATTGGAGTAATTTTACACGAGAGATGTGCATAGGGCTAATTTTACACGAGAGATCACTAATTAAATTGGATAATTGGTTGTTGAGACGTATAAAAAGAGATTGCAGGATTTTGAATTTAGTAAACATTAATTGACCTAAGTGAAATCGAATTTTCTAACCATTTAATCCCGTAAATTGTTCATAAAGTCTCCAAGCGTTGATAATATCAGGAATAGTTTAGTATTGGTTCTTTGTTTTAAATTCAATCTTGATCATCACTTTAGTTTAAGTTGAAGCTAGATTAACACAAACATTGATTGTAAATAATTAGTCTCCAAGGGAACGATAATTGAATTGTAATCCACTTTATTATTTATCATGATATTATAAACTGGCAATAGAAGCAAACAAATAGCTTCATCAATGAATTTGTTTTGATCTTCTACACGTGTATATTGTGGTTTCTTCAACTTAGAGTTCAAACGCATTTTCTCCAATTTCATCTACTTTATTTTCTGGACATTGCAAATCCGTGCACCAGCACATTTTCTTCTTGATATATATCAAAAATTTTGCCAAAAATATGTGAAGCACCAAAATTGACTGCTCGTTTAAATAGAAGTGAGAAATTCACAATAAAAATTAGAAGCCTCACTTTCTATCAAAGTCAAATTTCATGTTGCCTATAAAAATAGGGAAAAAGTTACAACCCTGCTCCCTGTCCCGAGTTGGGGACAGGGTCAGGCGCCATATGGCATTCCCTATTGGAGGGCACAGAGAATTATTAAAAAGCTATTTGTACTCTTTCACCGACCCACTGCTTGACATGGTGACGTGGAAAGATGAACAAAAAAATGAAACAAAAAACGCACAAAAGCCGCAAAAGAAACAAAAAACACAAAAAATAATTTTTACAGAAAAGGCGCGATTGCAGCTTTCATCCTCCATTTCCAAATTACCAAAATTGAAGCAGTCGTCATCGCCGTATTTCCAAATTGTAGCTTTCCTCCTCCGGTGTAACAAAGAAATTTCCAACTTGAAGTAGTGGCCGTCGCCGTATTTCCAAATTGAAACCAATATTGTAAACTTTTCGGCCAGAAGCTGCGATACCCCTCAGTGAAGCTTTCTCCGGTGTAACAAAGAACTTTTCGAGTTGAAGCAATCGTCGTCGCCGTCTTCATAGATTCGGCTGTGTAAGAAAGAGTCGTTTCCGGCTTCAAGTCGCCGGCTTCATTAATTGGAGTAGATGACGGACAACGGTATTTCCCTTCATTAAGCTTAAATGTTAAACTAATTTCTCACCCACTTGTTCTGTGAAAGTATAATTAACTAAATGTTAAACTAAATTTTCGAGCAATCCGTTTTGCCATTCTATAGTTAACTGAGTTAGGGGAAAGCTTAAATGTTGAACTAATTTTTCACCCACCTGTTCTATAATAACGTAAAGTAATTGAATTAGGGGAAACCTTAAATTTTTCACTGGACATGAGGAAGCCTAAATGTTTCATTGAACTTGGGTAAGGCTTAAAGATGTCATGTCACTGAAGTTGGGTAAAGCTTAAATGTGTCACTGAAGTTGGGGAAAGCTCAAATGTTTCTTTACCTGTTTGAGATGACACATTTATCGTGTATTTTGTTCAGAATTAGACGAATATGGGAAAAGAGGAATTAACCTTGTAATTGGATTTGTTACTGCAGGCAAGGAAAATTTGGAAGAGGTGGATGATGTGGTTTTATTAGAGTCCGAAAATGACAACATTTTGGACAGTGAGAAATTCATAGATGATGGAATTGTAGGAGTAAACAGTATGATTGTGCTCGAGATGGGTATGAAGTCCAAAGATGAAAAAGATATGACAAAGTGTGTCAATCAGTTGCTACACTTGCGGACATGGCTGCATGGAACGACGAGCAAACCCGTGACGTACTATAGTGGATAGAATGCAAATAAAATAAAAAAAAATTCATTTAAGATGACGAGGTCGAGTTGTGGAAGTAATGACGTGTCTCATCATGTATTTCAGACAGCGTCTGATAGTGGAGCGTCACAACATATCGGCAATTTATGTATTAAGGATCCAAAATGCAATGTTCTAGTTAAATGTCCTTGATTCCTTTTATAGTTACTCTGCCTTCTTACCTTCTGTGTCAAGATTATATATCAACTTTAATTGTATTGATCTTGTGGTCATTGCTCTTGTAATGTTGCCTAGTGTGTCATAGCAGCACCCAAATTTTAATCAAGCAGCAGCATGTTCTGGTCTTTGATTCATCATGTCTGGTCTTTAGTTTGTTTTGGAGTTTATTTGAGTTCTATTGCCATATTCAGTTAACATCAACACATGAAAATTGGTGAACTGGAAACAAGTTCTTGCAATACTAAGTTCACATTGCAACTCACCCAAATGAACACCAAACTGAACAGCAGCATTAGCAAAATGAACACTAACAATTGAAGGTGAAATACTAAAGTCACATTGATATGAAAGTGAATGAAAATTACATGTCTTCCCACATACAAAAGTGAAGAACTCAAATTAGTTGTACAAATTCCCCACAGCAGCATCCTTTCCTCGATTTTATAGTCACCCAACTAAACTCCAACTATACATAACAGAACACACTACACTTAACAGAACACATACTACACATCACAAGTGGTAGGGAGTGATACTAATGACAGCACAACTACTACTGAAGCATCCTTTACATAATGTTTGCTGTGAGATTCCACACGAGGTGATGATTGGCGTTTAAAAGGACAAAATTTCCGCTGGAGGTGCTTGACTTCGACCAAAGTTTTCGCCTCCAAGGGTTTTCTTTGGTTTGAGGGAGAGTGAAAATGAGAGGTTGTTGCGACGGATGGCATTTAAGAGGACAAATTTCTGTCGGCGATGGAAGCTGGATTTCGATCTCTGTTTTCGCCTCCAAGGGTTTCCTTTTGTTCGAGAGATTTGGGGGAAATTGAAATGAAAGGGAGACTACCGCATCAACCATCTAATTGGGCCGGTTCAAGTTTTGACCCAACAACTTTGTTATGTTTTCAAAAAAATTTGAAATCCCTTCGTTTTCAAGTCAGCGTGTAAACGAATGTGTCAAACAACATGTACCCATAGCGCGATCGTAAAAATAGTGATCAATATAAGTTTAAACTATTGGTCTTAACAAAATTATCTTAAACCTTGAAGTCAGCGCTGCCATCTTTGAACCTAAATACTTAATGGGCCCAGATGGCCAGGGTCTATGTAACATTTTCAGCCGTCTCCCCACTTGCTCAGAGCACCAACCTCCTTAATTTAGTCTTCAAATTCAATTCTGGTGTTCCATCAAGAGGAATAACTATTTTTGCTTTTTGACGAGTTTCAAACCGCCCAAAAGGCTATATCTTATGTTCTGAAAATAATTCTAGAGTTGACTTACTTGAGTATTTTTCAAGAATACTAAATATTTTCAGAGCTCAAACTGGATGAGAGATGTCAAATGTCTATGACAATTGGGAAAGATTGGTGGGAGCTGTGATCCGGAGAGAGCAAATATGGCAAATGTTTCATGATCGCAGTCCAAGCGTCAGTTCCGTAGCATCAGATTTCAGTTTGGATTCTCAGATCCTTGATGTCTCTTTTGATTTTTCGAGTCGTGCAGGTACGTCTCTGTATCAGCCACCTGCAGTTGAAAACTCTCAAAATGAAGAAAAAGCTGTTAAGAAGCTGGGGTCTTCGGTACTAGAGATGAGGGTCAAAAGAAAAGATGCAATTCAATGGATGTCTTACGGATTACTCCCAGAGAGATTGAGAGAGGTAATCAGGAGGTACGACAAATACCTCCCGATTCGTTATCTTCCCAAGGACCTCAGTAAAGATGTTATGCGTCACTTTTGCTTGGCACTTCTTAAGAGAGTGAGTGCTTCTTCATTCAGCTTTTATGTTCTAGTTATATTTATTACTGCTGTTCTTTCAAGAGAAAAATGAAAAATGAGTTGAAAGAAGTCAGTTCAAAGCTTTATTTATTTACTTGCAATTAAAAGTTTTAAGCTATTGATTTCTGCTTCGTTTAGACTGTGTTATAATTGAATAGTATCTGGATTACAATAATTTTTTGAGTACTAAATTATATACTGAGGTCAAGGCCCAGTTGGTAAGGGCTAAGTCTTACCAGATACAGTTCGAGTCTCATTTGGGCAAGGGTGAAATCCAAGAAAGAAAATAAATAAATAAATCTATATAGCTAATATTTTAACTATGTTTTAGGCGCCCATGTTTGAGAAAATGGATATACTACTTTTGGATGCAATGTGTGGCCGTCTAAAAACCGTGCTTTACACTAACAATGGTTTCATATGGCGGGATGGTGATCCGATTGATGAGATGCTGTTTATAATTCGTGGAGAACTGCTGTCAGGTTCAGTGACAACAAATGGAGGAAAAACTGATGACTTTTCAAATTATTTTTATTTAAAAGGTTTTGACTTCTGTGGAGAAGAGCTCCTCGAATGGGCGTTCGACCCCAATTCGTCGTCCAACCTCCCAATCTCGACCAGAACTGTTCAAGCCCTCTCAAAAGCAGAAGTGTTTGCACTGGCGGCCGCTGATTTGAAGTTTGTAGTCTCTCAATTCAGATACCTATACAGTTTTAATCAGATGTGTCACATTTTTAGGAATTACTCGCTGCAGTGGAGGAATTGGGCAGCAAGTACTATACAAGTAGAATGGAGGCATTATCACAGCAAGAAGCTAGTCCGAGAAGAGGAGAGCAGTTTGCGAGGTGCATTGGTGAAGCCGATAATGATGAGGAGGATATCAATCATTCCTCTTCAAAGTTCCGTTTCGTCAGATTTCAGTTTGGATTCTCAGGTCCTTGATGTCCCTTTTGATTTTTCGAGTAGTGCAGGTACGTCTTTGTATCAGCTACCTGCATTTAAGAAGCTGGGGTCTTCGGTACTAGAGATGAGGGTCAAAAGACAAGATGCAATTCAATGGATGTCTTATGGATTGCTCCCAAAGAGTTTGAGAGAGGAAATCAGGAAGTACAATAAATACCTCCTGAGTCGTTATCTTCCCAAGGACCTCAGTAAAGTTATTATGCGTCATGTTTGCTTGGCTCTTCTTAAGAAAGTGAGTGCTTCTTCATTCAGCATTTATGTTCTAATTATATGTATTACTGTTCTTTCAAGAGAAAAATGAAAAATGGCTTGAAAGAATTATGTTCAAAAAGCTTTATTTATTTACTTACAAGTAAAAGTTTTAAGCTATTGATTTCTGCTTCCTTTAGATTCTGTTATAATTGAATAGTATCTGGATTACAATAATTTTTTGAGTACTAAATTATATACTGAGGGGTAAGGGCTAAGTCTTACCAGATATAGTTCGAGTCTCATTTAGGCAAAGGTGAAATCCAAAAAGAAAATAGATAAATAAATCTATATAGCTAATAATTTAACTATGTTTTAGGTGCCCATGTTTGAGAAAATGGATAAAATAATTTTGGATGCAATGTGTGACCGTCTAAAAACCGTGCTTTACACTGACAATGGCTTCATATGGCGGGATGGTGATCCGATTGATGAGATGCTGTTTATAATTCGTGGAGAATCGCTGTCAGGTTCAGTGACAACAAATGGAGGAAAAACTGATGACTTTTCAAATTATGTTTATTTAGAAGCTGGTGGCTTCTGTGGAGAAGAGCTCTTCGGATGGGCGCTCAACCCCAATTCGTCGTTGTCCAAGCTCCCAATCTCGACCAGAACTGTTTTAGCCAATGCAAAAGCCGAAGTGTTTGCACTGGCGGCCGATGATTTGAAGTTTGTAGTCTCTCAATTCAGACACCTATACAATAGTGAGCAGATGCGTAACATTTTTAGGCATCACTCGGCTCAGTGGAGGACTTGGGCAGCATGTTATATACAAGTAGAATGGAGGCGTTATTATAGGAAGAAGCTAGTTCTTAAGATGCATTAGCAAAGGCGAGAATGCAAAAGAGGACATCAATCATTCATCTCCAGAGTCATATGAACCAGATTTCATTGCTGAAGAAAAGTAAGCACGTTTTAATTTTTCAGGTTATTGTTTTTTTCAGTTATTCGCCTTGTAAACTTGTGTCCGGGTTTTGTATTCTACTATGTATTGTAACTTTATCATGCATGTTAATTGTATGACTTGGTTCTGTACGAATTCGAACTTGTTAGTGTTGCATTTGCAATTCCTTATCTTACATCCTACATCAAGGACACTATACAATTGCCAATACACGATTCTAATTTGAGATTTGCAGCTCCTTTTATAACTTCAACACCTCAGTACATCAAGTTTTGTTAGTCAATGTTCAAATAGCAATGTACTATAATTGTCGATAGTACGAGGGACATTGCCTTAACAAATATAGCATATCGTCAAAACATCTCCTTTGCAATGTTGGGGGGGTGTCGAATAGCAAATATCTGCATCACGATTTTGCCTTTGTTTGGATACTATGTATAAATTGATTTATAAATTCAGTCGGTTAATCATTGATTTCAAGTATATATCTATAACTATCACTCATTATTATTCACACGTTTTGTGGAATTTACTTCCCCTTTCCTTTGTGCTCTAGTTGTTCTCTTTTCACTTCCTTTTTGCCTTGTTCTTCTTCAATTGAGGGGTTTAACCTATAAAAGCAATAATTACACAATTGTGAGTAAAAATTTGTTCATTTAATCAATATTAAGCTTATTTAGGCATTCAATAAGTGTGTAAAAATACACTTACCAATCATCGATTGATGACTTTAGGAACGATATTGATATTGAGAGGTGATATAGTTATCTAACTCGTGCAACAGTTGACATAGATTTTGATAAGAGATGAGAAGATACTTATATAGATGATGTAATCTTAATTGAATTTATACGAATTAATGTGTTTATATATTGCCGAAATTTACATATAGATATAATAAATTTGTACATGTACATTGGAGTAATTTTACGCGAGAGATGTGCATAAGGCTATTTTATGCGAGAGATCACTATTTAAATTGGATAATTGGTGTTGAGACGTACGAAAAGAAATTGCAAGTTATTGAATTTAGTAAACATTAACTGACCTAAGTGAAATCAAATTTTCTAACCATTTAATCCCGTAAATCGTTCATAAAGTCTCCAAGCGTTGATAATATTAGGAATAGCTCAGTATTAGTTCTTTGTTTTAAATTGAATCTTCAAAATATTAATTGATCACCACTTTAGTTTAATTTGAAGCTAGATTAACACAAAAATTGACTGTAAATAATTAGTCTCCAAGGGAACAATAATTGAATTATAATCCACTTTATTATTTATGATGATATTATAAACTGGCGATAGAAGCAAACAAATATCTTCATCCATGAATTTGTTTTGATCTTCTACATGTGTATCGTGGTTTCTTCAACTTAGAGTTCAAAGGCATTTTTCCCATTTGCGTCTACTTCATTTCATGGACATTGCAAATCTTAGCACCAACATATTTTCTTCTTGATATATATCAAAATATCTCGCCAAAAATATGTGAAGCACCAAAATTGACTACTCGTTTAAATAGAAGTGAGAAAGTCACAATAAAAATTAAAAGCCTCACTTCCTATCAAAGCAAAATTTCATGTTGCAGCCCCTACGGGCATGATGCAGTAGTAAAGCAAGAGGATTTTATACGGAGTATCGAAAGTTCGAATCCTTACGGCAGCTGGAAAGCAACATTTATGTTGGAAAGCAATTGTCTTGTGGAAGTAAAGTTATGGTGCACTTTGTCACCCTTTCGGGTGACTTGTCCGGTCCAAGTGTGTATAAGTTATGATCGCAATCCAGATTTACCTAGGTGGTGAATTATGGGAGAAGGCTGCCGCTCCTCAGAATTAGTCAAGCGAAACTTGAATATCTAAGTTATCCAAAAAAAAATAAAAAATAAAAGTGCGTATTTCATGCTGCATATAAAAATAGTGATCTACGTAAGTTTAAACTATTGGTCTTAACAAAATTATCTAAAACCCTGAAGTCAGCGCCGCCATCTTTGAACCAAAATCTTGCCTATGTAACATTTTCACCCGTCCCCCCACTTGCTCATAGCACCAATCTTGTTAGCACCTGTTTATCCCCATTAAATTAAATTACATTATATTTTATTTTTTATTTTTATATTTTCAATCACACAATCTTTCATAAAATAATATTACACTTAAATCGAAAATTTTTCTTTCTTTTTTAATCACTTATTTTTCTAAAAAATATTATTCTCCTCCATTTTCATTTTCAGGTAATGGGGATCAAACATGGGCTAATTTGTCTCCAAATTCAATTCTTGTGTTACATCAACAGGAGTAACTATTTTTGCTTTTTGACGAGTTTTGAACCACCCAAAAGGCAATATCTTATGTTTTGAAGATAGTTCTAGAGTTGACTTACTAGAGTATTTTTCAAGAATACTGAAAATTTTCAGAACTCAAACTGGATGAGACATGTCAAATGTCTATGACAACTGGGAAAGATTGGTGGGAGCTGTGATTCGGAGAGAGCAAATATGGCAAATGTTTCATGATCGCAGTCCAAGCGTCAGTTCCGTTTCATCAGATTTCAGTTTGGATTCTCAGATCCTTGATTTCCCTTTTGATTTTTCGAGTGGTGCAGGTACGTCTCTGTATCAGCCACATGCAGTTGAAAACTCCCAAAAGGAAGAAAAAGCTGTTAAGCAGCTGGGGTCTTCGGTACTAGAGATGAGGGTCAAAAGACAAGATGCAATTCAGTGGATGTCTTATGGATTACTCCCAAAGAGTTTAAGAGAGGTAATCAAGAAGTACGACAAATACCTCCTGATTCGTTATCTTCCCAAGGACCTCAGTAAAGTTATTATGCGTCATGTTTGCTTGGCCCTTCTTAAGAGAGTGAGTGCTTCTTCATTCAGCTTTTATGTTCTAGTTATATGTATTACTACTGTTCTTTCAAGAGAAAAATGAAAAATGAGTTGAAATAAGTCAGTTCAAAGCTTTATTTATTTACTTACAAGTTTTAAGCCATTGATTTCTGCTTCGTTTAGACTGTGTTATGACAGAATAGTATCTGGATTACAATAATTTTTTGAGTACTAAATTATATACTGAGATCAAGGCCGTGAAATTCAAAAAAGAAAAGAAAAAAAATAAAACTATATAGCTGATATTTTAACTATGTTTTAGGTGCCTCTGTTTAAGAAAATGGATGAAAAACTTTTCGATGTATTGTGTGACCGTCTAAAAACCGTGCTTTACACTGACAATGGCTTCATATGGCGGGATGGTGATCCGGTTGATGAGATGCTATTTATAACTCGTGGAAAATCGCTGTCAGAGTCAGTGACAACAAATGGAGAAAAAGCTGACTTTTCAAATTCTTTATATTATCATGTTGGTGACTTCTGTGGAGAAGAGCTCCTCGCATGGGCGCTCGACCCCCATTCGTCGTCCAACCTCCCCATCTCGACCAGAACTGTTTTTGCCAATTCAAAAGCCGAAGTGTTTGCACTGGCGGCCGATGATTTGAAGTTTGTAGTCTCTCAATTCAGACACCTACACAGTAGTAAGCAGATGCGTTACATTTTTAGGTATCACTCGCTGCAGTGGTGGGATTGGGCAGCAAGTATTATACAAGTAGAATGGAGGTATTATTGTAGGAAGAAGCAAGTCCGAGAAGAGGATAACAGTTCGCAAGATGCATTGGCGAAGGCGAGAATTCAAAAGAGGATATCAATCATTCTTCTTCAGAGGCCATATGAACCAGATTTCACAGCTGCAGAGAAGTAAGCACATTTTAAATTTTTGGGTTATCGTTTCCCATTACTCTGATGTAAGTTTATTGTATGGCTTGGTTCTAACTTGTTCAGTTCGATTCTGTACAAATGTAATCTTGTTAGTGTTGCACATGGAAATTCAAACATCCTGGACTACAATTGGGCAGCCCGGGCTATACAACTAGCATGGCAAAATTATTATAGAAAGAAGCTAATCCGGGAAGAGGCGATCAGGTTTCAAGATGCACTGACGAAGGCGATAATGCTTCCAAAGCCAGCTGAACCAGATATCACAGCTAAATAGAAGTAAGCACATTCTAATTATTTTTCGGGTTATAGTATTACAGTTTTAGACGCATTCTGAGCGACCCAAGAATGCACTTATAAAATTGTAGCTAACGGATGATCTTCACAGATTTGGGTCAGAACGTAGCCCGATCTGGACGCAATTAGATGTCTCAATACTGAATATCTATCGGGACCCTGGCCGGAAAACACGGAGAGCGCCATCCTATCTGCCATCCTATCTATCCTCATACTATCTGTTTGTTCTTTCAGTTATTCGCCTTGCAAACTTGTGTCCGGTCCTGTATTCCAATACATATTGTAACTGTATCATGCAAGTTAATTGTATGACTTGGTTCTGTACGAATGTGAACTTGTTAGTGTTGCATTTGCAATTCCTTATCTCACATCCTACATTAAGGACAGTATACAATTGCCAACACACAATTCTGAGTTGAGATTTGCTGCTCCTATTATAACTTCAACACCTCAGTACATCAAGTTTTGTTAGTAAATGTTCAAATAGCAAGACGTCAAACAATGTACTATAATTGTCGACAGTACGAGGGACATCTCCTTAACTAGTAGCATATCATCGAAGCATCTCTTTTTGAAGTGTGGGGGAGGGGTCGAATAGCAAATATCTTCATCACGATTTTGCCTTCGTTTGGATTCAATGTATAAATTGATTTATAAATTCAGTCAATTAAACATAAATTTCAAGCATATATTTATAACTATCACTAATTATTATTCACGTATTTTGTGAAATCTACTGCTATCCTATTACTATTCGCAAACGGAGGCTTTGTATCTTGGGTTAGTTTATTTTTCCAAGCGAACAAAATAATTGTTGCTAGTAACTGCTCATGAAAGGAAAGAAAAGAATTCAAATTTCAAGAAAATTACTAACGGAGATTATGAAGGATTTTTGTTTTTTTATTTTTCTGGGTATAAAGTGGTCTATTGTAAGGAATGATCATTATGGAGATGAATTGGCTGAAATGATGAATGTACATTAATTTCAAATTTTTATTTATACTTAAAACATTTCAAAATTCAACTCACTCAGACGAGGAATGAAAACAAAGCATAACATTAGCCAATTTGAACTGAGTATTGTCTCGACCTCATCCAGGTTATCTCTGCTACCATGGTACGCAGCACGACTTTTTCGGCCTGCCTTCTTGCAAACTGACATGCCGAATCATTAGAAATCACCTCCCATGAATCATAAACTCATCCATTTCAGTGATTTATTGCTAACAGATTCTGGTGTCAATCACATATAGCCCTTGTTTTGGTGGGATTAAAAGTAGATTAAAAGGAAAAATTAGAAGTTTTTGAATTATTTGTCAGACAAATTAGAAGTTTTTTTCCTACTTTAATTGTAGTGCAACCTTCTACAATTTGTCAGCCAAGTTAGAAGTCGCCTTCGTTTTTTATGTTTGAATTACAGGAAATGCCCTTCTCACGAAAAATTATTGAAATATTGAAGGAGCACATAGGTCATTCTGTTGTCTACTTTAATTGCAGGGTAATCAATAAATTTTCGTTTGGAGATTTTTATATTAGAGTCAAACATCATCATACTTCAGACATGTCATAAATTTATCAAATATTATATTTACTAATTGTCCTCCAAGGCATTAATTTGGGTTAGAGCATTTAAAGTTGGTATATGACATATTGTTGATTTAGTTGGTCAGTAAACGTATCTAAATGAATTATCTTTCGAACTTTTGATTTGAATTATCTTTTGCGAGGATTTAGATAATGATGCATCTGTACATTGTTTTCAGCTTTTTAATTTCTCCCCATAATGTCGAGGGAATTATCCAATCAAACAGACAATCAGCAAACCATGTTATAAAATATCACACATTTTAGATAAGAGTTCAAACTATGCATTTATTCTCAATATTCTTTTAGTTTTATTTCATTACATTGTGGTGGATCAATTATACATATACTACACTATCAAAATAATTAGATAAAAGAATTAGGCTCTGGCCATAATCCAATTATAACAGGAAAACCTATGATGTTGGCATGATATGTAATAGCAAACTCTAAACAGAAATGAGAAGCACTTTTAATAGTATTAAATCATTTATAAATATTTCAACTAGCACTTATTAAAATATTGGGATTTATGTTCACCGGTATAAAATAAGAGACATCGTCTTGATTGTATAAAATGAAAAATATGCTCAAATTTTAAGCAGTAATTTCACAAACTTCAGGTTGCAAATATCATGCAATATTCTAGTGGATTCATCAAATCTATTAGATAAATAATATTTTGATGATTAACATGGAGAAAGACAATGTCCCATATATCACCCTAATTAATTTTCAAAAATATAGAGAATTCAATTCATATTTGAACTAGTGATGGTTAATATTTAATTCTCAATAAAGAGGAAAAACAATATATGGGAATTTATTGGATTGAAGAATTCTCTGGCTCTTCATTGAATATTTGAGTTCTTAATTTCGCATCATTATCAATTCAGTAATAGTCCAATTGATCGTGTCAAACAATAATATATTCAGCAATTGAGCTTCTAGTTCAATTAGAAATGTCAACGAGTCGAGCCAAAACTTAAGACTCGAACTCAAGTCGAGTAAAAATGGTTTGGTCTTTTTTTTCCCCAAGCTAAGCAAGCTTTCGACTCGGACCTTATCAAGCTAAGTCGACTCATTTATAAAAATAAAAAAAAATAAAAAAAAAAACGAAGAAAGAAAAAAAAGAGGTGGCTAAGTAGCAGCTTGTGTAGCTGTCCAGTTATGGCTGCCTGCTACTTCTGATTGCAATATCAAGTAAAAACGTTGTCTGGAATAGGGCGCTGACCCACATGGGGTCATGTGGGGTCAACTGACCCCACAGTTTTTTTTCCTGGCTGTTGAAAATGGTTATTTGGGTTCCAACTTTTTTTTCCCCCCTGGCTGTTGAAAACGGTTATTTGGGTTCCAATTAATTCCTAGTAGCCCAATGACTCCAATCCATTATCCATATCCATATGGTCCAATGACTCCAAAGTCCAATCCATTATCCATGTATTGAGAGCGATGTACTTGACGATATTGATAACGATGTAATTATATGACGTTTTCAAAATATGAAAATGCGTAGGCTACAATTGTTGTAGCATATGAATTTATTTTCGTTAATAATACGTTGTTCGAAAAAAATTTCATTTTTGACCCCACAGTCCAAAGTCTCTAGGTCCGCCCCTGGTCTGGAATATAACACTCGCAAATACTTCTGCCTACTACCTATAGTTATACATATGTTTTTTATTTTAAGGCTTGACTTGTCATGGGCTGCCAGCCGCTACCTCGAGCTTTGGCAAACACCCCAAAATGGGGACTGGGGCTCAGCCTGGATAAAAATCAATGTCCATATAACATGAGTTACATATTTTTCTTCATGATAAATATTCATTGAAAATTATATATTTTTCAAAACATGTGCTATTTCGGAAGTATGTTGTATTTACTAGACTTATTCAATAGCAATATGTCGAATTTTTTTGAAATATTAGAAATTTGACTTGATTTCGTAATAACATAGTATTGTTTAAAATATAAATTACATAAAGGTTTACTCTTTCAAGAGCAAAAATATAATTTATGCTAAATTTTATTTAATTATATTCTTTAGGAACAAATAAACTCTAACTAGAACATTAATAATAATATGCTTACTTCAAAAGCAACAATGTTTTATAATAGATTGATAGACGTGTACTAAATTCATAAATTATACTCGTATTAAAAAGAATACGAACGACGAAATTATTCGAGCTATTAGCAAAAAAATAGATAATTAATTAGGAGAAAATATGAAACGCAAAATATTGCCTTGAATTTATTAAAGCGAATTCAACTGAAAAAATGGATATATTAATATAAAATTTGCCTTTTCCATGTTAACGTGAATTGACTTTATTTCGTAATTGATTAATGCACAAAGATATTCATACAAAATAAAAACATAATCACTATGCATACAATAAAACAATCATTGCTTTTTTAAGAACAATGAATCAATTGGAATATCACGTTCTTTTGGGACAAGTATTATTCTGCTAGAATATTATAATAATATAAGGTTTTTTTTTAAAAAAAAATCTATACAATATTTTTTAGGAATATTAATGAAATCGTAAATTATGTTTCTTTAAGAAAGCACGATTAAAAACAAATTATATTCAAGAATATAATATAAAAAAATACTATACTTTTTCAAGAGTAATGATAAATTATTAATCTAAATGTTGCAGGTGTGAATTTTTGCTCCTTCAAGAATAGCAAAATAATACAAATATCATATTCATTTTCAAGTAATGCTAAAATATTCTTCTGGAACATTATTTTAGATTGTTTATTTTCAAGAATAATAATTCAATATTCTTCTAAAATATTGATATAGATTGTTTATTTTCAAAAAAAAAATATGATACTCCTCTGGAATATTTACTAGAATATTAAACGAAAAAAAAATTACATTTATGTAATTATTTATTTATTTATCATAAATTGGTATAATTAAATTGTTATAATCAGATCGAATCACTATACCTCTTTTTTATAAAATTTAAAGTTAAGGTTATACTATCATTTTCTTTGAGCAAATTAAAAGAGTTCCTTTGTAAACTCAATTGGCTAGAACTTCTTTTTTTTCTTTGATTGAAGGGAAAAATTATACCTCAACTGATTAAAGAATTGAAAGCAAAAAGAGAAATCAATTTTACTAACTCAATTGATCAAAATTTCGTTCTGATAACTTGTTATAGACTAGAGATAAAAAGAGAGAGAATAAAGAAGTCAAAAAATTTGTGTGTTTCATTGAAAACTAAAGTCTCATATTTATGAGAAGAATTATGAATACAATAATAGCAATAATTAGAGGTGCAAGAGTATAATTAATATTCACCAATAATTATATTATTTATAACAAATAGTAAAATTGACATTATACATGTAAAAGTAACAACTTTATTAATATTGGGGAAAAAAAATTGTGCCAATTTTTCTCTCTCCTAACAAGTGGTTAGAGCATATCCAAAATGCTTTTTAAAAGTAAAAATAAATGACATATTTTAAAAAATCAACATTTAAAATTATATCTTAATAAACTTTTTAAATGAACATTTCAAAATAGAAAGTGTGTTTTTCAAATAGTCTAATTCACTCCCTATAATCAAATACATTCAAACTAGTCCAATTTTCATTGCTCCATATATTAATTCAACTAAATATTATATGTAAAAAATTAAAAAAATAGAGAAAATTATATAATAATTTGAAGAGAAGTCGATAAAAATAAAAGATATGGAAAAAAAATGAGAAATACGTATTAAGTGTAGTAAAATTACATGTTAAAAATAAAGAGATGTTCGGAGTATTTAAAAAAAAAAAAAGGGAAAAAAAGAAAAAAAAAATCCTCCTAACCCAAACCCCTCCCCGCCTCGCCCCAAACACAATATCTAATTACTTCCAGAATTGTGTTGTCGAGTAGTGGTACAATAAACCTTTTTCTTGAGAGTTAATTAAATCGCAGATCATCAACATTTGCCATTAATTACTATTTGCTCACCTTAAAATAAAATATTACTGACTACTCACCTACTTAAAAATAAATAAATAAATAAATAAATAAATAAAGAAGAAAATTTACTCATCCATCACCCTTTTAATTTCAATCCATCCAATCTAGACGAAAATGTCCACGTGGTGGATGAAAATCTTAGCTGGCCACCGACTTGGTAAAAAATAGACACGGTGGAAAACCACAATACATTTAATTGGCCCGTCAACAGGGCTTGTTCTTCTAGAATTTTTCCATTTAAAGAGGCGATTTCTCTTCAAAACGTTAGAATTATTCTTTTCTATTCTACTCATCTTCCCCCAAATCAGTTTCTCATCAATGTAATCTCTGGTCAAGACTTTCAAATCAAAACCGAAATTGAAAAACCTTCAAACTTCTATCGAAAGAGATTTTCCATAAAGCTCGCGAGACATACAAGTACCCAAGCTGGGAAAATATAGCCAGCCAAAAGGAAATAGTATGTAGCTGTCCAGTGGTATCTGAATAATGATCTGACTCATTTTCTTAATATCTCTTACTAATTTTCTGTTCAAATGATTAATGATCAGATTTGATTGTCTTGCAGGCTGCAATTAGGAGGTACATCATTGAAAAACAGGTATGTGAAGTTTACAGAGTTTTCATTAGACTGGGGGAGTGGTTTCCCTGTCGCAAGGAAAGAAATACAAGAGTTCATTTGGAAGATGATGTGAGGTTGAGAGTTATAATTGTTAAGCGTAAAATGTTTGCAAGTTTGCAACGGAACCTCGGCCTGTGTATGGTGAGAAATACAGGAATCCGCTGACGGAAGAAGGATGCTCCATTGTCGGAGCCAATTTTCTGATGGTGTTTGTCGGTTGAAAATTGCTAGGATGGCTTGAAGAAATCATGGGTGCCCATATTTTCAGTGAATTAGTGCGTCGTCTAAGAGAAGCTGGAGCCTTTTGGCTCTAATTATTTGAACAACCAAGAAAATTATGGTTCGAATTATAATTTTTTTCTGATTTCTGAACAAATCTCAACTCAGAAAACAGGTTGAAGAAAGTGCAATTTATCCAACTTTTTGGCTTATTTTTTGGGTTTCTACTTATTGGAAAATAAGTTGCTTTTTTAATATAAGATTTTCCAACATGGCAATTTTTAACGGAGTTAGTGGCCACCTAGGATTTTCCTCTGCCACATGGACATTTTTTGCCTAGTTGGATGAAGGGCTAATGAATGGGTAATTTTTTTCAAAAGTTGGTGAACAATCAGTAAAGTTTTATTCTATGGTGAGCAGGTAGTAACCAATGACAGATGGTGATGTTCAGTGATTTAATGCACTCTTTTTCTTAAACATTTGTGAAGGGATTCAAATAACAAAATCTCCAAATTTCTGAATTAAAGAGTAACCATCTTAAATATAGTTCATTCAGTGTTGACATGACTAGTTGAGTGCTTGAACTGTCGATTTCCAAATTGATCTAACCGGCCATACCTAGCTTCCAAATTGATCTAACCGACCGTACCTAGCTTTTATACACTACTCAAATGGGGGCCGTGCCCTTGGGGGTGAGAAAAATTTCAATAGGACGATCGCACCTCGTGATTGAGTCACCTCGGCGGGTGGCTCCCCACACACCCCCGAAGTTTGTGGATCACCCGTCGAGGTGGCATCTCAACATTGGACAGGCGCACCACACTTAAGATTCTCTCCCTAGGGCCAGTTATCCAAAGGGTTGTTCAAGGGCTTCATTCCTCAGACTGTAGGTCACTAGGAATTTTTGTTGTTAAATCTATATATTTATGCACGCTTCGCGTCATAAAAATACCATTGAAATTTATTCAAGTCACTTGTTTTGAGCACTATGAACCATGAATAGAAGCCCAAATCAGTTACACCAACACACGTCCAACAATGAACCAAACTTTCGAAACATACCATAAAAAAAATCATATTCAAGGACCTCCGCCATCCTTTCGGTAACATATAGCTGAAGGGATACCACATCTGTGATATCAGCTCCCCTACAAATATATATACAGTAAGTTCTACGAAAGGTAACTCCAACCAATTTATCCACTATGTAGCCCTCATTATTTGCGATTATAATTTTTGAAATAATGATTTTATAAAGAACGTGATTATAAAAGAAGAAAAATTGAATTTACATAAAATATTATTTTATTAAAATATGTGTCATTGATTAGAAAAATAAATTATATTTTTAATGGGAGCCAAACTGCTCTTTAACATTCATCCAACTGATTTAACATTCAAGGCCATGGGAAAGCACGCATTGATACATTAGAAACCTATCTAATAGCAAAGAACCCATCTTTTTAGTCACAACAAGCTTAAATTTCAAGTCGGTAATCAAAGAAGCCCTTCACATACAACACTGGAAAAAAGCTCATAAAAATATGGCACAACAAAAGTAAGATGAGTTCTCCAGTAAGTATATCCAACGATGTTAATTGATCTTTGCCCTTGAGAAGTCCATTTCAGGGTGCTGCAAATTCACATAGGTAATATCAGTACACACTCATCCTGAAATGGCCTATAAAGTGCGAGGCCAAAAGAAAAGAACTGAGAGTAGAGGGGTCATTGAGTTCTCACCTCAGCCATAAACTTCTTCATAATCTCTTGTTTCTGCATCTCATCACTTGTAGGAAGGCCCATGGATTTCTGTCTTTGGTCAAACTGCAGGAAGCATTTGAATAAAAATCATGGGAAAAGATGAATGTTAAAAAGGAACAAAGATCCAGAAGATAAATTGACAAGAAGCAAACAATGCAAAGACCAAAATGACATAACAAGATAAAAGGAAGAGTAAAGAAGGGGAATACACCCTAAACTTTCCAAAACAAGGTAACAAGTAACAGTGCCTCAAACTTGCTTCGAGTGCTCAGAATGTGCTAATCTCTCTCTCTCTCTCTCTCTCTCTCTCTCTCGTGACCTTACTGTACCATATAATTGGAAACCAACTCAACATTCAATTCAGTTGCAGTAATATTGGTCCTCCTCCCCGGCCAACAAAAAAAAAAAAACATTTACCGACAACTCTTTTACTTCTCCAAAATTCAATATGTTAAAATCAGCAAACTCAGACTCAATTTAAAGCAATATCCAAAATGAATGAATTTCCTTATATTTGTATTAAATGTCACTAATACAGCAAGTAAAATGCAAGAGTTTATGAACTCTACCATCATTTTTTCCACAGTTGTACGGGTTTCAGGATCCAGATCTGACAGTTTGCTGTTTTCAGGTTCTACTTTCTGGGTATCAACCTCGGGCTCACCCTTCACCAAATATTTCCACCATTCCATCTGGTTCTGTTTTGTTAGCAGTATAGAGATAGATTTCTGATCCTCTGCGAGGAATAGGTTTTCATTCATTTCAACACTTCCAACAACACAAATCAAATATACATATATTAAGGTATCATGATTAGCTACACCGATAAAGTATATTTGTCTTACAGAAAATTGTATCTATTAATGATCGCAATTAGACCTACCTAAGCTCCAAAAGCAGTCATCGACCTTCACAGGCTGAAAAAGTTCCCCCTGCAAAACATAAAGCATCGGTAGTTGGACTCTTGAAAATTACAATAGAAATAAAAGCATAGCAGGATAATCATGAACCGATATTAGGTGCAAACCACTTACATCGATGACAGGAGGTTGGCCTTTAAGCCCAACTTTTAGATAATTCTTTTTTATTTCACATGCAATGAACCTTGACTTTGTTCCAGAAGGAACAGGAACAATGATGTTAACCTCTTGCAATGATTGACCCCAAGAATAGTTCTCCATATCCAAACCATTTCCTCTGTTAGGAGCTGATCAGACAAGTAAACCATCAGTAATCAAAACAACAGTCTTTCCGAAAAACACTTAGTAAGCGATAGCCTCTACTATATTAATTTGAGGTACCCAATCAAGTACAACCGTTTCTCATTAGCAAAAGTGACATGATTATAACCCATGCTATAGTATATATTCCTTTGAATGCAATATTGCATGCTAGCTAAGCAAAAGATCACAAAACAATAAGTGCAAATCAATTTAACGCCCAAGCCCACCCCAGAAATATATTTAAAAAAAAAAAAAAACAACACTAAATTGAAATCAAGAAAAAAAAACGAATGGTTATAATTGATGTTGATAAAGTCGGCTTCGTCAAAAAGATATCATGAGAACTTTATGCAATTACTTTCTTAGTTTTGATTTTGTTGTGAAATCTTTTAAATCAGATGAGTAGCTATTCTTTATATGAACATAACTTTAAGTTAAACTATATATTATGTTGTCGGGAAAGGAAAAATACATGCATTACATGTCTTGGAGTGTCGGTGACACACATGATACATGTCATAACGGACACACCACACCATTAGGAGTGTCCATGCATCATATATGTAATGAGAAATCTACAAATTTTTCCTAAAGAAGAATACTGCACATCAATGTTCCCAATGCAACACTTCTCAGACCTAAATTCTAAAGCATCTTGGAAACTCCAAGCAAATTATTTGTATTTCTATGTTAGACCTTCCTAAACCACTCCCTATAGTAAAATACAACACTACACAAAAATCTCACCCATATTCTCTTTATCTTTTTTCATAAATCAACTATGAACAACGTATTCACACAGATGATAATAATCCGAACAACATAGCAACTATCCCCCATCTCCTGGCCGATCCTAGCTACACACATTATTTGAAAAAGCACAAGGATTAAGTACAAACCCAAAATAAATCCATCCACAAAAATAGCGATTCAACTGAACTATATTTACGAAAATTGCAAATATTGAGTATAACCAAAGGATTGGTAAACACAAATAGATATAAATAAATGTTGGAGACAACAAAATAACATAATCGGTAAATTTAGAATAATCATCTACAAAAATCTAATGTTTCCAAAAAGAAATAAAAATCAATGAGAAATACCTCGAGGCCCTTTTTTCTCCTCCTCTTTGGTCTCAGCTTCTCCATCCACCTTTTTCTCTGCCACCGTTTCCTTCACCACCTCCGTTTGAACCGCGGCAGCAACTGGCTCCTCCTCCTTTGCTTTCTTTTCGGCCTTTACATTCTCTTTGGCCTTCAATTCCTTTGTCCTCTTCTTCTCCTCGGCCTCCACTTTGTCCTTAACCATCCGAACCACAGCATTCACATCATTCACCAATGAATCGCTCTTGAACAAATCACTCTCCCTTGCCACGAACTCAAAAACCCTCTCCAAAAATCCAATCGGGTCCGATGGATCAAGCACGCCGTTAAACTGCACCTTTTTAACTGACGAAGTCGTCGGCTTCTTTTGATCTTCTTCTTCGTATTCAGATAGTATAGCCATTAGTTTAATGATTGGGTTCGAACAAAATTCAAGAGAGGGTTTCAAGGGTTTCCGACTTGGGGAACTGTAGTCTGTAGGGTAAACAAGTAAGAAGAGACGTGTATATATATAGGAAGAAAATTTTGGAGAAGTGAAGGAATGTTCTCGAAGGGTCCCTACTTTTAGGAAATTGTAAACAGGTCCTTGAAATGCTTGGAATTATTGCTACTGTATTCCATATAATTTGAAATTTGTGGAAAGCTCCTCTGAATTCTTTGAATTCAATAATTTCGACTTAGATTTGTACCGCTATGATGAATGTTCATAATGATAAAGTAGCATATAACACCACCTTTAAGGGGTGAGAAACTTACAATATCAACGTAATCGATCATAGATTTTATCTAGAGCTATTTTTTTTAATTTTTTTTTTCAAAACAATGTATCACATTCATGTCCACAACATTTAATAAATATTTTTATGAAAATTGTTATCATATCGTCACAAGCGTTCTCTACATACAAACAGGGGCGAAGCCGAGATTTTAGTTCAGTGTGGGCAAAAAATTTTCGACATTGAATGTCGAGGTTTTGGTTATGGATGTAATGACGCTAAAAAAATAAAATAATAGTACGATAATACTAAAAACAACATAATTTATATATTTCACTTGTTCCTTGCGAGTTTTAATACTCTGTGCGAACCGGAACTGCGACGCTGCAACAGGGACGAATTCTCTCACTCACAGACAAAGGATTGGATTGATTCAAATGAATGAAAGGGTTTGGGTCAATTGAATTTTGAGGGAATGGGTCTAATAGGGTTTCTCTTTTTGAGCTGGACATCGAATATTGGAAAAAGACTATGGATATTTACTACTATTGATATCTGAAATTTTAGAAGTGGGTTTAAAAAAAAAATAAAAAAATTATGCCCGCATTGGACATGCATTGACTCCGCCCATGCATACAAAACTACATAGGAGCAGTGGCATCACATTATAACAAATTGCATCAGATTTTTGCATGAACCTAAAGTGCTCTAAATTAGTGAGCCTCAATAAGGCACATGAGCATCCCACCTAGACTAAGGTAATTGTCCTAAAACTTGAGCACATATGCCATCTATAGGCATAAGAGCTGGGGCGATTCAAGAAGGGTCCAGTGGGCCCTTAACTTTTGGCATTTACAAAGTAGCCCATATAATTTTCAGTCCATAATTTTAACCCATAATTTTTACATACCCTCAATGAATTATGTTCATGGGTTCGCCGTTCATAAGACTTATTTACTAGCTTGCACTAGATTTTACACCAAATTTGGTGTGTAACGCCATTCATTATACTATATTTTGAACCATATTTGACCCCTCATGGTAGATTTACACAAATTTTGGTGTTTACCCCCCTAAGAGGTGAAGCAAGAAGGGTCCTATTTAATTTAGATGAAATCTTCAAATTTCATTATTGGTAATAGCAGTTACGATGAGGGGTCTTGGGATCTTCCTAAATACAATAAGAATCATGTGATTCCGTATTCCTTGATGCATAACATGCCTTATTTGGAGCGATGAGTAGACATTCAAAGATTCCTATGTGTACGTATGTAGCTAGGCGCCCACTGTCAAATGTGTTTTAACTGTTGAAAAGAAAATACAATCAAACAAAATCATCCATGATAAAGATCAAACCAATAAAGAATTGACACATGTCCAAAGGGTGTGAAAGGTTTCGATATTAATATTTGAATGATCAAAGCTCTGTCCATTCTCACCCCTCACACTTAAATTATACTTTTTCTATAGTTGATTGTCATGGTATGAACGGTCATCTAATCTTTCATCAAAATATAGGTATTTACATGTCAATAGTTTTGAAGTTTGCAAGCAAAATATATGTGATTGGAGACGTGACAAAGAATTTATTGATAGTTTGGTCATTTGAATTTGAAGGTCAAATATATACGCAAACAGAAATGAGAATTAAAGACTTAAATGTTACAATAATTGAAAGGAGCTACACGTTAATTTACATATAGAATACGAATTGTTGAGCCATTCGAATTTTCAAATGGACAACTTGTCACCAAATTAATTATTTTGTGTAATTAAATCAAGGAAATATTTCCAAAAAAGCATTTAACATAGGCTATGATTTTATTTTATTTTTCAATATCTTAATATTTGATTTTTTCCCCTTTTTTGAAGATTTTTATATAAATAACTTAGGTAATTCCATTCGTGTGAATTATACTTTCAATTAGTTTCAACCAGGCAAATATTTTTTTCTACTAGATAATTATACTTAAATTTGATTTTAATCGGGTAACATCACTTTAATTTGATTTCAATCGAGTAACTACATTATTAATTTATTGAAATTAAGGGAGTAATCCTGCCCAATTTAACTCATAAAAATCAATGACATGCTTGTCAATAAATAATTATCATCACATGCGGTTGTCAATTATTCATGCAAAATAAGCGCAATTTCAGTGAAATAAAGTACGAACATCATTTATTAGCACTTATATTATCAATTTTTGTCGTGCCAAGTGACATAGTTGGACGAAAAGAGCATTTACTCAATGGAACAAAATTAGAGTATAATTATCTAAATAAAACGGGACAAAGTACGTATATTTACCACGCAAATACCTTTATCAAGTACACAAAGTTGTACTAAATTTAAATCATAATTGGTTATAATGCGAAAAGGTTAAAAAGGTCGTGTTCCTCCCTCTTCAATTGTCTATTTATTACGAGATTTTGCACCTAATGCTAGATTAATAAAGGATTAATATTCAAACAAACGCGCAATTATTATTAGTAAATTTATAGGATTAAACCAGATGTATAGCACTTGCTGTACATCATGGTTCACAGCCCCCTCACAATGAGGGGGCCCCACCTCAATTTTTTTTTAATGTGTGCGAGCCCCCTCCGATATGAGGGGACTGTCAACCGTGCTGTGTGTTGGGCTGTGCCCACAGCACGGTCCAAATTTATAAGATCTTTGTATGATAATACTAATGTTGCAATATTTCACGTCATTATTATAAATTAAACAGTTGCTTCAAATCAACATGATTAGTTGAGTTTTAGGTTACTTATTGTTTTTTGTTTTTCCCCCCCTTTTAGTTACTATCTAGTAAAACAAAACAATTGTATTTAATATAATAGTAACAGTGTAAATCATGCTTCACAAACTAAGTAAATTATGGTAAAGTTTACATTTAAGTAAGACAGCATGTAACATGCTTGTATCCAGAAAATAATTATGGGTTGGGCTAAAATTTCAAAATTCTAAATAAACTTAAGTTATGTGAGATTGAGTTTAGAAGAATACGCTCACTTTAGAAAATATAAACTAATAGAATCATGACAAATATAAGCAAATGTAATATATCCACCAATCAATTTTTAAATATTTAATGGGTACTATTCTAAAGAATTTTACAACCAGCTACTCCTAACAACTGAAAGTTTTGACCAAATAAGAAAATCGAAAATATATTATTGTACACCACTGTTCTCAAAAGACTATTTAATGTGGACGTCAATCTTTTATACCAACACATTCCATGGTGAGTAAAGAATCCACCCAAAGTGGGGAAAAAAAAAAACCAAAAACAAAAACAAAAACAAAAAAAGGCGAGGAATTTCGAGAGTAAAAAAAATTGTTTCTTTCATGTCCCTACTTGATCAACTTCTATAATATACATATAATCTTATTATTTTATATAAATAAGCTCTTTTAAATATTCTTTTTATTATAAGATTAAATATAAAGTGAGTCACTTATTTTGATTGTAACATCTATTTTATGGTCAAAATAAATAAATTTCAATCTTATAAGTATGAATCAGTTACGAAAATATTTTTAGAATTAAAAAAATTTAATTAGTTTAAGCTTAGCCAAATATTTTGTGTCTCCTACAAATAAAATAAGTAATTTATTTTAGCTCTATTCAATACAATTGTATTTATTATAAATATATAATTACAATTAAAACATGCATTAAATAAAAATCTAAAATCATATTTGGATAATTGGAATTGGACTGAAACTCAATATGAAGCTGGACAAATATTGAATTTGAGCCAATTTAACTATAAAAATCTTTTTGTCTTAGCCCCTGCTAGATCCGCCTCTGCGCGTTTGGATGGTTTTTATTTTGGGAAAAATGATAAAGTTTTTATAGGTTATAAAAACAATAAATTTATGAATTTATGTTTGAACAAGTTGTGGTAAGGAGGGAGTTCACAACTCGGAGTTTAATGAATTTGTTAAGTTTTATGGATTTTCATGACTTGAATATATAGAATTTCACAAACTTTATAATATTTTAAAAGAATTATATTTTATAAATTTAATAGATTAGTGGAGTTTTAATGAATTTTTTAAGCTCATTATAAAGTGATATAACTTATTAATGGATTATCCACATTAGAAAATTCTAAACTTGTAATTTATAAATAAAATTCATAAACTCATCGTTTAATAGTGAAAATTCATCACTATGTCACTTAAAAGAACTATTTTATACAAATATGCAAAATCAAGCAAATAAACAACATTAAAAAGCATTTCCAGAGAAATTGATTAAAATCATAATATATATGGTGAAGCAAATAAATATCAATAAATTAAAAATCCGTTCAATCTAAAAGTAAAATGAGATATTTTTTTGACCGAAAATGAGAGATTTTTAACATATTTCTTATTTAATTCAATTTAATATCTTCTATGTTGTCAAAGGTATAACTAATTGAACTTTATATTTGTGGGCTCGAAATCCATTGAAATGTGAGGGTCGACTGGAATTCCTAAACTACTTGGTAATTATATTTAGTGGAATTTACATAAATATCACTAAAATTGAAAATGAATAAAAAAAATTCATTTACATCAATTTCTTCCAAAAATGTCACTTTTTAATGTAAAATGTCTACTTTATCCTTTATGACACCTTTTTAGGAGCAATAAATATTTGATTTGAATGCAATTAATGGTGAGATGTGATGATTTATTTTATATATTTTAAACATTTAAGATATGATTATTATATTGTATAATATAAATTCTTGTTAAAAAAAAAAGGGTGA